AGGATAAATTGTGGCTTTTCATTTCAACAATCATTTCAACGACAGTTAACAACTTGCTGACCTGACTTTGGAGATAACTGTAACTTTCGTGACAAAACGAAATGAAACATTCGCACATTCCCACAGTGGCCTTGCTTGATTTGTTTTTAAAAAATCGGATAAGGGGTTACACATTGGCTGCAACGCAGTGTTTTTTTTCAAGAGATGAATCTGTTCTGTGCGTTCACTACCGTATGCTATGTAAGGAAAAGGAAAAAGGAAAGCTTGTAACCATTCGAATGTCGATCTGTCCGACACTTTCATGAAAGGCCATTTTTTACTCCTTCTCATTAAATTTATGATGGAGCGCTGATCTCAATTTCCAACCTCCAGCCTGGAATGTCTTATTTTCAAGGTAGAGACGGCTGCAGCAACGTGATGAGCACAGGTTGTAGTCTCCTGTTTCCTTCCACAGACCGGTACTCATTTATGAACTTGTAAAGAAGAAACGCGAGTCATCCGACAGGAGATCGAACCCGGGATCGTTCAGTTTCGTCCGAATCTGATGCTCTGCCAATTCAGCAATATGCTGTATGCACTACATGACGGTAAATTAAGCGTTGACCGATATTCATCGATTTTTCACTATTCACCGATGATGCTTATCCTGGCACCTCCTTGTTGAGTCGCGGTTTGTCCAAAATATTGGGTATTCACTCTCTGTCACAGTTAATTTTTTGGCTTTGCTGTCCTTGTCGCCAAGTGTTGGCTACTCTAAGATGACGCAAGTAGAAGCATGACTTTTCACAATTGACTTTTTGTACTCTGTCTCAGTCAGCCCAGTGTAAGAGTTGTCAATCTAACGGAGGACCAATATTGCGCCATCTGAGCGGCGTATAACAGCACTTCCTTTATACTGTATCTTTTTCAGGTACAGGAAAAATTTTAGTGGAGTTGGCGGCCCAGAAAATACCTTGGTTGAGCTTGGGCCGTTTACCCCAGACCGTCGAACTGGCAATGGAAGCACAGCAGATGTTCAGCAAAAGGCTAAAATGGAACCCGGTTAATGGGGACAGAAGCGGGCTTGCACTGAAAGAGGAAGCGCTCCTTCTACGTCCGTGCAATCTTGACCTTAGAACAGAAATGTTATAAAGAGTTAATGCAGTGCACCTTACGAATCAGACACGTATTTCTAATGAAAACGGTTAAAGCAATTCACAGATGATGAACCACAGTGTACTTTCTGTCTAGTTAAATCTAGGTAGACGGTCGATTAGACAATCGACGGCTGACAACAGACGATTAACACATTGCGGCCGCCGTAATGTCGATACGTTGTGCAGTATGACTATATCAAAAGATAGATGGTACCTCGCACTCGTAACTCCAGCTTGCGGGCTTATTACACGTCATACCGTAGCGTAGCGAGATGAAGCTTCTAATATGCCCCTTGAGTTTTCTGTATAATGCGTATAGTGTTCGAACAACGGACGAACAAACGCGGCAGTTTTTAAATTGCTTTACAAATATGCTTTAGCCTTAACAGTACCGATTTTGCAATTTGCTGTGAACGATCTGTTATCGGACGGTTTTAACGTATTTTATCTATTTTTATCGCCAGCTCGGTTTAAATGCAACTTACACCGTAATTTCGGAAAGCACCCGTTGTTAATGGCAGAATTTTTGACCTTTTTGTTCCGTCATGTCACGTGCAACGCTTCCACGAACGGAAGAACGGAACCTAGCGCTGTGCATATCGTTCAGGTAAACGCTGCGATGCGATTGACTCGTCTGACAAGAATAAGCATCTGCTTTGAATTTACGCTGATTTGGGGGGGGGGAAAGATTTCACCTTCTCACTACTGTCATACATCCTTCCACTCACTGGTCATGCAGAAAGTGTGACTTTAAATAAGGACACCGAACACGACTGAAAAGCTGGCTGGTCCTAACACCTCGACCTAAAGGTGCAAGAACTGTCAGCTGCCAAACTGGCGTATTATTTGTAACGTATCTTTGCGGCGAACATAGCATGACTCGAAGTGACGCTGAGAATAAGGTGTATTTATAAAGTCATTCTGAACAAAACATGAACACGATGATTGTCATAATCCCCTATACTCAGTCCTCTGCCATATCTTCGTTTTAACCAGGTCCTGCGGTATCGGTAGCGGGTATCACTAATAAGCTATTGTTTTGCGTTGTGCTAAATTAACCGTTTTGTAGTATTTTGGGTTCTGTGCTTAACTGCCTTTAAGCCTTGTCGCACTGCTTTCGGCGGTGAATTGTTGGAGATGTTATAGGCTGTTTGTTTGTTGCCATTTGACATGTGTTTGCTTGACATTGGTTGTTTTTATTCATTTTGCTTTGTGTTGCATTTTAGCTGCATGAAAAGCTTGATTTTGTTTACGGAAGTAAGCAGTTCCCTATATCTATTACTACCACTGCGTCGTGTTACACCCGGACTCCGATATCCACCATAGCGCCGTCCTATCCTCCGGGGAAAACTTATGACAACTCTGAACGCCCGCCGTACAGTTCGTCCACTTTGCCTTTGTATGGCCAGAAAAGTCCGACAGACCGTTCGCACTCTCTTATTACTGGCAGTTATTCTCAGTCGAACATTCGTTATCCGACTGGGGTAAGTTTATGCTTTTGTCGACGACGGCCCAACGCGTTGAATGCCGCCTGTTCTCGTTGTCGCCCATCTGATCGTATTCATTTTTTTTAGATGAAGGAAACGTGGTCCGAGCATGCACCGGTGTCAGCAATGGACACACGTCCGTATCCGGAACTGGCACGCAACGCTCGATACGTACGTCGGTTCACTTATGTTTGCTTTCGTGGTTTGCATTGTTTCGTCGTCATTGTCATTGTCTGTTTGTTTCAAACCTCTCCTCGAAAGTCACGTCAACGTTTGTTGTAGTTGAACGGCGGCGGCAGTTCAGATGAATCCTGGGAATACGACGATATCGTGCTCGAGAAGGGCACATCCGGCTTGGGAGTCAGCATCTCTGGCGGTCAGGACAACCCGCGTCTTCCGAACGACGCCAGCATCTACATCACGAAGATCATCCCTGGCGGAGCGGCGGCGATGGATGGCCGTCTGCGCCAAGGCGATGTGCTTCTTCGCGTCAACAATACGGACACCGTCGACGTCCCTCACCACGTGGCCGTCGATGCATTGAAACGCGCCGGCAATGTCGTCAAACTGGTAGGTGATCTGACTTGAGTTGTGTTGGCTTCTAGCTTGGCTTGCCTAGCTGCTAGCCGTTTAATCGAACCCCTCTAGCAAGAAAGGTCTTTACCAAACAGAACGATTTCGCATTAACAGGCGTGGTTCTTGAAATCTCACTAGACGCTGCTTAAAAGAGAGTTTCTTGCTTATTGATGTTTCCTGAAGTTTCGGGCCAGATACCATGTCTGTCTTGTGATTTGACTACATGACGCTTCTCACGTTCTTTGTTTGTTGCATCAATCTCACTGCAACGTTTCATAATTAGAATATTCTCCTAGGCAAGTTTGACTGGTAAGGCTTCTGGGATTTTGTCACTTCGCTTCTGCCATCGCCTCATTAGCTGAAAATTTCAGCATTCGTAGTCAACGTTCAGGCCAGTGTAACTTGGTTTACCAGCTTTTTATTATAAGAGTAGCTTTGTTGGGAGAGAGTTGAGTTGGCATTTCCGAGATAGGAAAACCAGCACGATTTTGAGGACAGGAAGTCTTAGACTGCACTCTGTGCTTGTCGCCTAGTTATATGTACTACCGTTAAAACTAGTGCACTCATTGTTGGTATCGGTGAAACGGGCATGAATGCCATATCATAAACTCTACGATCAATGAATGTCTTAAATTGATGCCCGTCATTGGAGTGTAATCAACACTCATCCCAGAGGTTGCGAACTTTACGTGTTGGATTTTGTAGGCTTGTGTTGAAAAAGTAGGAAGATCTCTGTAAACTGCATAGTACGATCCCACAGTGTTAAATAGGTTGCAAACCACTTTTCCTGGCGTTTCACTCATGTGTACAGTCGCAAGATTCATCTTTAGTCACTCAGAACGTTACCGTTGGGTCAGATGATGACTACGATCCGGCAATCGCCATTGTTGAGCTTATAACGTAACTGCAGTGCACCAGTCTCTTATGTGCGTACTGTTCTCTGCTAAGTGCTTAATATACGATTATGGACAGTTTGTTCGTCGGAAAACTTCACCGGAATTGGATCATTCGTTTCAAGGAAGTTCCTCTCCGAAAATCGAACATATCGAGCTGATCAAGGGAAATAAAGGTAGGTCTGATTTCAGCAGTTTTTCGGATTGTTGGTAAACGTCGCTTCTCTGTCAGGACTCGGCTTCAGCATCGCTGGTGGCATTGGCAACGAGCACCTACCGAACGACAATGGAATCTATGTGACGAAGATAATCGAAGGCGGAGCCGCCCAGATCGACGGACGCCTTCAGATAGGAGACAAACTTCTGGCAGTTGGCAACTGCAGTTTGGCAAACGTGACCCATGAAACGGCGGTGTCGGCTTTGAAAGCTACATCTGATCGTGTCGTTCTGCTGATAATGAAAAATCCGGCGACGTCTGAGTCGTTTCATTCTTCGTTTGACCACGTGATGGCGCAGCCGGAGCCGACTGCTCGCCTGACACCATCAGCGGTCACTTCGCCTCCACCGGACGCCGTCCTGTTGCACTCGTACAGCGACGGAGCTGCCGCCAAAAGTGTCCAGTTATCACGACAGCAGGAAATGCGTCGTGCACTTGGAGGAGACGCCTACTCAACGTCATATTCGTCTTTTCACTCACCCGAGCCTCCTCCGCCAGAACCCGAACACGCCGCGCCATTGGCTCCGTCACCCGAAACACCGTCCAAGGCTTTTTCGCGTATGGAAATTTCTCGGTAACTCAAATGCTTGCACGCCTCGTGCTTAGCTTAAGGTTTGCCTCCGTGATCGGTCATTTTGTCGATTTCAGCTCACCAAGGTACGTCACACTGACAAAGAACACCGCCGGCTTGGGCTTCAACATCGTCGGTGGTGAGAGTGGCGAAGGTATTTACATCTCGCACATATTGCCGGGAGGTGTTGCCGATTTGAGTGGACAGCTGCATCGAGGGGATCAGATTCTACAGGTGAGTCTTTTCATCCTTCCGGTTGTCCACAACGGAGGTAGTGAATTCTGGGGCTTCGTGAGAAAAGCATAGTTTCAATGCGTTGCAACTACTAGTGCCTTCTTGATTGTGACTCTGAACAGGCAGTGCCGTAGTCAGAAGCCACACACAGCAGAGAACGGTTGGTGCGGTGTCTGCGTCTTGCAGTGGTTTATCGACGGTTTACGATATTTTCGGCGTGAAGATGCATCTTATGTAACTCTTGAGCAAATTTTGGTATTTGCAAACCATAAAATTGATACTCTGCACTGGTCTGCTATAGCTTTCTCGCAGGGAGTAGTATTGCTTCAAGTACTAATTATAACAGTAAAAGCGTAAGCCGTCGAAATTTCGTTATAGCTACATGGTGTTTCCATAATCACCTATACGTTTGTCGCAAAGGCTTAAAAATCTCTTACAATTTGTTACGTAATCCCGTTATAATAACGATGGCGAAACATGTCATCCTCTGTTCAGAGACGTAACTGATGAATTTAGGCAACGACTTTTGCCGTAGTTATCCGAGTTGATCATCCGGTGTGGGCAATGCTGTTCGCTCTCCATTTGCTGATGCTATCCGTTTCGTTTGGAGTTTTTATCGGTTTATCCCGCAAATTGTTATTCAAAAATCTCTGGATTCGTTCGGAATTATAAAATCAGCCTGGGACGCTAACCGCGGCAGCAATCTTTCCATTCATTTTTGTTTCTAGTTTCCGTCTTAGACCAGAACTGCCTTAATTATGCATAAAAATTTTCACAGCCCCATTTGCCGTTGCTTCACTAGTTTCTTGTTTTCAGGTTCAGCACAGGCCTGTATGGCTCAGAAGTATTCACTCTGCCATAATTCGCCCTGATTTGCTATCCATCACTTCGCCGTTGGCAACTGAGACGCTGAGGTTAGATTGTAAACAGTCGTGATAGGGAGGGCCCAAAAACGTCTTTGAACGACTGTTCTAGTTATGCACAAGCACTGTCCCAGGGAACTTCGGTGATGAGTTATTCGAATTCGGCGGGTGGCGTTGGGTGAGTGTAAAAGATACTGCGTTAAGTGACCGTTCAGCTGTGCACTGTCGCACCACTTCGCTCTATTAGCATTTGCGAAAGTGAAGACTTTCTTT